GGTGTGGATGTTGGGGTCATCTCTCTGGTTGTTACCTGTCAGTATGAAGCACGTGTTGTGCACAGGTGACATGACGTGAACTGTGTCCCGGTGCTTTCACAGGCTGAAGGTGTGCAGGAGCCCTTTCAGGTAAGTCCTCACAAGTCAGGGAAACTGCTGCCACTCTGTGTTTGTCACCTTAAACAGGAAGTAGAGATAAGCAGAGAAGAACAACATGTTCAGTGTGTGTGACCACAGATACCTCAGTACTACTACCAGCTGGTACTTCTCACTGCAGACGTGAGAGGCCCCGTGTCGGCCGGAGCGAGGGGGGGAGGGGGCCGTTTAGCGAGACAGTTGTTGTCTCTGATATTAGGGAACGTTTGTTGTCATGGATACAGTGGTAGGCAGGCAGTGAGAGTGATGTTTGAAACAGGAAACGATTTGAATGTGTGTAGTTTTGGTTCAGCGTGGCAGGATGACTTCATCCCCCCATCACTCACACTCATTCTGGGAATAAGTGCGCCCCCCTCCAGGTGCACAGACGTCATCATATCTTCAGTGTGTTTAGCTTTGTGACTTTGTTCTTTTTAAACATTTATTTTGGCCTTTTTACGGCTTTATTTTGAAGGCTACAGTGAAGAGTGACAGGAAAGCAGAGGGACGAGATGCGGCAAAGGGCCGCGGGTCGGATTCAGACCCAGGCCGGCCGCTCTCGGCCACGCCCGCTCATCCCACTGCGCTAAATGTGACTTTGGGGATTGTAACCAGGTGTCAGAAAGGCCTGTGGCGGCCAAGCGCTCGTGGCGACGTCACTGAGTCTTCCTATCATCGTGAAGCCGGATTCACCACGTGTTCACCCCCTCATAGGGAACGTGAGCTGGGTTCAGACCGGCGTCCGATGACGCGTTGTTGCCATAGTAATCCTGCTCAGGACAAGAGGACCGGCAGACGCTTGGCTGAGGAGCCAATGAAGCAAAGCTGCCACCTGTTAAGGTCGTCTTTGATTGCTCAGGTAGAAAGTTGTACAATACAAGTCAAACTGCACCCAGATCAGTTTCACACGCTGGATCTGTGAGTCTAACCTGCAGCAGCTTCTGAGGCACAGAGCAGCCGAAACCTGAGGAAATGTCACCAACTGCATTCTGGGTAACCTCTCAGGCTGGTTTCACCAGCCCGGGCGAGTCCCGGTGTGTGCTTCTGTTTTCAGTTCTTAGGAGCTCCCGGCTTCAGCCAGCTGATTTCCCCGACTTCCTGTTTGTGGTGTCCGAGCTTCTCTCTTCTCATAGTCCTGTAAACTCCCCCAAACCCCTCAAAACAGCTCAGCACCTACAAAAGGCCTGTGCAGAAGTCCTCTGCTTACATGCTGCTGCGAGTTTACTGATTTATTCAAACACACATGGAAATATCAGCCAATAGCAGCGTTTGTACAACTCTAACCAGCTGTGATGT